CATGAACGCACGTGTACGTGCACACGCACGCACGCACGTCTACGTGCACATGCATGCACGCACGCACGCACACATGCACACACGTCTACCTACCTGCACACGCACACACGCACGCACGTCTACGTGCACATGCATGCACGCACGCACGCACACATGCTCACACGTCTACCTACCTGCACACGCACACACGCACGCACGTCTACGTGCACATGCATGCACGCACGCACGCACACATGCTCACACGTGTACCTACCTGCACACGCACACACGCACGCACGTCTACGTGCACATGCATGCACGCACGCACGCACACATGCACACACGTGTACCTACCTGCACACGCACACACGCACGCACGTCTACGTGCACATGCATGCACGCACGCACGCACACATGCACACACGTGTACCTACCTGCACACGCACACACGCACGCATGAACGTGTACCTGCACACGCACGCAGGCGCGTACGCACGCACGCAGGTGAACGTGCACACGCACGCACGCGTACGTACGCACGCACGCACGCACGCCCATGTACGTGCACACGCACGCACACACTCATGCACGCACGAACGTGTACCTGCACACACACACACGCACGCACGTGTACGTGAACACGCACGCACGCACGTGTACGTACGCACGCACGCGCGCACGTGTACGTGCACACGCATACATGCACGCACGTATACGTGCACACGACACACGCACGCACGTGTACGTTCACACGCACGCGCGCACGTGTACACGCACGCACGCATGTACGCACGTGTACGTACACACGCACGCACGTGCACGTACACACGCACGCGCGTGTACGTACACACGCACGCACGCACACGTGCACATGCATTCTCGACTAGGCGAGTGTGTGCACTCGACTCGCGCGATAGAATCGATGTAATCGCCTAGTGTGTCCGGCCCTTTTCCTGTACCCTTTCCCCGTTCCCTACCGCTCATTTTCCTGTGTAAACAGTTTTTATGCCATTGTTTTGGTATTGTTGCACCTTGAAGTAGTGAGTTTACTATTATTTTTAGCGATTTAATCATATCTTTTCTTCCATGGATCATTAATTCATAGGCCATCCCTTGAGTTTTGCTTTAACTTAGAATGATAGCTACGCGCAGTCATTTTATCGCTCATGACAAGTACCTTTACTGCCAGGCACGTTCCGTTATGACCAACCACGACAGTGACAGAAACAGCAATAATAGTTTTTTAACACCAGCAATTCCAATAGTATTTACAAACAATTCACGGAGATACAGTCTAACCGGAGCTAGGTGCTGCTCCGTGGACTGCCGCGTTTGTGTAAACAAATCGTTATATGTTCGTCTATATACCTATGCGCTTGTCTGATTCGTGAACGTCGTTCCAGTCTATATATGGGCGCTGTGGCTTCGTTTACGTCACCAGTCGGGTGCCTAGGAGCGTGACCCGCATCCTATCTTAGGATCTCGCCGCTAGCCTAGCTGGCCTGGTTGGTAGCGTCCGCGTGCGGAACCGCGGGCTGCTTCCACGGGCTTTTAACCCCCGAGACGCAGGTCGGGGATCGCGTCTCGGTGGGGGATCGCGTCTCGGTGTGGTTGCCCCAAATATTTTTGTTTTTTTATCAGCTTATAATTATAATTGTATATGTATTAATGGTAGCAATTTTCGAATCTACAGTTTATTGCACCTTTTACATTTACAACTCGATACACTACAGTGTATATATATTCCTCATATTCAGAGAGTCATTGATACGTAACATATAACAAACATAATACATCTGAGCTTGTAAGTAACAGATTGTTGTAACTATCGATAAAAGCGATTAATGACGTCGTTGCATGCAGGTCGCCTGGAGCCATCCATTGGACGAGGAAACCTGAGGAGAGAGGTAAGTCACCTTTGTATTCTCCTTGCCTTCTCGTTCTCTCTCATTGCATTGCTCTCCTTTCCCTCCCTCTCTCTCACTTCTCTCATCTCTCTTCTTCGCCTTCTCCCTCTCTCCCCCTCTCTCCTCTCATCTTCGCCTTCTCTCCCCTCTCGTCCCTCTCGTCTTTCTCTCTCTCATTGCTCTCCTTGCTCATTGCTCTCATTGCTCTCCTCTCGTCCCTCTCCTTGCTCATTGCTCTCCTTTCCCTCCTCTCGTCCCTCTCTCTCTCTCTCTGTCTCCTCCCTCTCTCCCCTCTCATCTTTCTTGTTCGCCTTCTCCCGCTCTCCCCTCTCATCTCTCTTGTTCGCCTTCTCCCTCTCTCCCCCCTCTCATCTCTCTTGTTCGCCTTCTCCCTCTCTCTCCCCTCTCATCTCTCTTGTTCGCCTTCTCCCTCTCTCCCCCCTCTCATCTCTCGTCTTCTCTCTTTTCTCTCACTTCTTC